CCCGTAACGCCGTCGCAACTCTCCCGCTTGCGTTGCTCCGCTTGCTCCGCTCTCCCTCTCTCTCTCAGCCTCTCCACTGCTAGTCTGCTCTCTCTCTCCTAGCCTCTCCACTGCTTGCCTGCTCCCTCTCTCTCTCTCAGCCTCTCCACTACTAGCCTGCCTGCCACGCTCCACTCGCTTCGCTCTCCTCCGCTGCTGGCCTATCACTACACACTCTGGTAGCTTCTCACCATACCCTCTGCGAGCCTCTCCACTGCTAGCCTATTACTATACACTCGGGTAGCTTCTACACTACTAGCCTCTCACTATATCTTCTGTTAGCTTCTCTACTGCTAACCTATCACTATATACTCTGCTAGCTTCTCCACTGCTAGCCTTCTGCTATATACTCTGCTACCTTCTCCACTGATAGCCTTCCACTATATACTCTGCTAGCTTCTCCACTGCTAGCCTTCCACTATATACTCTGCTAGCTTCTCCACTGCTAGCCTGCTATATACTCTGCTAGCTTCTCCACTGCTAGCCGTCTCACACTCAGGATTCCGCTAGCTTCTCTACTGCTAGTTTCGCACGCTCACACTTAGGATTCCGCTAGCTTCTCTACTGCTAGCCTTTCTACCCTCGCCTCTCCAACCTCGCCCTTGCCTCCAGTGGGGGTTAAGCTATCACCACTGGAGAGGGCGAGGTGTGGGGAGCGGGGCCTTGGACTTCTCTCGTCTTTCCTCTTGCCTTCACTTCGACCAACTCAAGAACTCTCTCTCTCATGCTCCCGTATATATCCCCCTCCTCATTAACTCCTCATTAATTAAGCTGGCGACCTCCCGTCGCCTCACGCCCGTGGCTTCCGCCGCTATCGCCTCAATCTCCAGACTCCGAGACGCCTACACTGTCTGCATTTGCAGCCAGCCAATCACCGCTATGCATCTTAATTAGCATTCTCCTTTCCTTTGCTCCCTCTAGCCGCACCTGGTCGTCCCGATGCGACCTGACTGTCCATAACTTGCACATGCGTGCACACCGCTTGCAAAACCCCCGCACGCGTTATTCCACTACATATGCATGCCCTGCAAAGCAGCTTGTGTCAGATTGCAAACCAGTGTTAAAACTCATTTTTGTATTTAGTTTGTTATCCTTCCCTCACATCTCCGATGAGCACGGTTGACTACTTGCGGTGCAAAATAAGTTAAAACTTATTAAAGCAATTCTATATTAAAGCTGCCTTTCTCTATATAGTTATTCATTCATATAATCAGTGAAGGACAGCATTCACATGAACTGCTCTTGCTGCCATACACCGGTGTTTCTAGTGATGTGTCCTGTCCCGTTCATGGTTAGCACATGCCAGACACCAATCTGGAATTTGTATCACAGGTATATTTACGGTGGATTGAACTGATCCCATCAACTCGCTACACTTTAGTACCCTGATCTTAGAAGTGCCCGACTCAGTGTGTCTGACACAACCATTACGAATCTCCCAAGCCACTCGGGTCACCTTCACACAGCTTTTAATCTCGCACTCTCTGGGAGTGGGGTTGGTGGTTCACACAAAGATCATCTTGGGAGTTTTACTCCCAAACTGCAAGGATATTTTCTGTGGATAGTGACCAGGAGTTGGGGCTCCTAACCTATCCGTGTGGATTTTTGAGTGCTAACTCCTTGAACGCCACAGTGGCAAACTACCTCGCCTGGTTTGCAGGAGGGTGTGGGTTCGATCTCGTCCCTGACCCCTGTATATTTGGAGTTTGCATGTTCTTCCCGTGGTCGCGTAAAATTTTCTCTGGTTTTCCCCTTCAAATTTACAATCAACGTGCGTTTAGAGTATTCAGCTGCTATACATTTCCACGTGATAAGTCACTTTGTTGAGCTATCGTTTGTGGCTTCTGAAAAAGAGCTACATAGCACAGTGAGGCTTCCCTGTTAAAATAAAAACAGTAGTTGAAATAAAAAGCATGTTGCTTATCTAGCAACTCCGGAATTTTCCCCCATGCTGAAATTATTAAAAAGGAATTTTGCAAACACCATAATGTGGGCATTCTCGTAAGCCTTGAGACCCGAAGGCTCTACTGGATATACTTTGCTCTATCCATTTACCGAGTTTACAATGAATGAGTTTATTCAAATAATGTGCCATTTTATTTAAATATTATTTTTGGGAAAAGGTTGTGAAGTGATTACTTTCATATGTCCTTCCTAAATGTCTGTACGCTACTCTCAAACAGGATGATAATAAAAACAACATATGCGCCCTTTATGTGTCCAAAGCATGCATTCAGGACACAGCGAATACATTTTTAGTTTGCAAAAAATAAATGCATGTTACAATTTATCCAAGCACCGTTGTAATCAGTAAAAATATAATTGTATAATTGTTTTATAAGTATGGATGTTATCGTAAAAACACCGCGTAAAATCATCTATCTAAATTGGCTCAAGCCTCCCGTAAGCCACATAACTTCCATATGGCCACCCCCACTCTGAATCCCTCCCATCTCATCAATAAATCCCTATCGCTCAAAATCAGCTCAAGTCTTCCATGCTATTTTTTAAACTTATACTTTTATTTGACCAGGTAAGGCCCACTGAGCTGCATAGCTCGTATTCACAAGCGACCTTGCCACAAATGATAGTTCAACGAAGTTGCTTATCGTGTGGAAATTAATATCAGCCCAATAATTGAAACGCATGTTTTGAAATATGGAGTAAAAACCGGAGGACCCGGAGAAAAATCCGCGCGACCATGGGGAGAACATGCTAACTCCAAATATACAGGCATCAGGGCTAGGATCGAACCCACACCCTCCTGCATACCAGTAGTTAACACTTCGCCACCGTGGGCAATGGCTTCTGCTGCTGATACAATTACTCAATTAATTTAAATACACTTTGATTTTAATGAGCTGGGTTGTTTCTTCACCCTCGCTTTTTTAAAGACAGTGTTACAGCCGGAGGAATCGTACTCCACATTCTGGAGGTCTGGGGACACCTGCTGGGCAATTAGTGTCCATGAATAGTGTACGTAAAGGAGAGTTGCATTTATGTCGAGCTGTCTTGATGTGTCATATGAAGGAGACACGAGTTTAACACGTAGGCTTTCGCGACCAATATTATTCATAATAAAGGTTTTTGGGTTAGATCGCGTTTATTTATAAATGTGTCGTAATAAAACCGGGAGCAAGCGAGGGCTTTACCATTCTGGCGAATTGCCCGATGATGCTGGATGTATTTACCAGCGAAACGTCGTACTCAAACTGTAAATGTGGATTCACTATTCAACACACCGGTGGTCTAAAGTAGTGAATTATTTGTCTTTTGTCAACGTGACACTTTTTTTTGCTGATTGGCTGTGTCGGGTGGTGGAGGGTTACGACACATTTATAAATAAACGCGATCTAACCCAAAAACCTTTATTATGAAGGACACATGATTTGGGGCTTCTCTAACTTCTGCGATGCGGTTGATTTGCCGATGTTACTATTTCCTAACTTGTATTCTCTTCAACACGTAGGCTTTCACGACCAATATTACCCATAATAAAAGTTTTTTTGGGTCAGATCGCGTAAGTATAAATGTCGTTAAACCCGCCGCCACACGACACAGCCAATTATTTACAATTTTAGTGGGTTTACTCTCCAACACAACAGTGTGCTGAAGTAGTAACAAATTGGCACTCTATGTTTACGTGACAAACCTTAGAAATTGGATGTGTCGGTTATATTTACATGATCTAACCCCAAGAACACCTCTTATGGGTTGTATTCTCTTGCAGGAGTGTTGCACCTGTTGTACCCATTGTTGAGGCGTGATACGAGGTCTGTTATTTACGTAAACCCTAGGAAAAGAGGGAAATATAGGCGTCTCATTGTGGTCAGCCAACCACCACCATCATCAGTGGGGCATCTTTATAGCAGACCCACTGCACCTACAGTCGTAGAATCCTCTACCTGCGAGCCGGAGACTCTAGGACCATTTAGAGTCACCCCTTTTGGCACATTTTCTCTCAGCCCCTCTCCTCGTTAGGAGAGTTCCCTCCTTAAACCATTAACGAAACCATTTTTGATTTTACCAGGTAAGGTCCACTGAGCCTATGTAGCTCTTTTTCAAGAAGCGACCTGACCATAAATAATAGCTCAACGAAGTGGCTTATCGCGTGGAAAATTATAGCAGCCGAATGCTCTAAACGCGTGATGTTGATTCTGAATGTGGAGGGAAAACCGAGGACCCAGAAAAAAAATCCACGGGGAACGACACCGCAAACTCCAAATATACAGTAGACGTCAGGTCGGGATATAACCCACGACCTCCTGCATACCACGCGAGATAGTTCACATCTCCCAGCCACTGTGGAGAGATTGAGATCCAACACCAACACCCGCCATTCGCCACGGGGCCGGTGCCAGGCTAGGTGCACTTTGAGGCCACGCGACGTGTCGGAGGCTCGCTGACAGGAGGAGGTCTCGGGACAGACCCAGCTAGTGCCATGGGTTGGCTGACTGAGGTGACTGGCTGATGCACTCCCAGATCTACCGCCTCACGCAGCAGCAGAAACATCGCCCCCTACTGCGCAAAACTTGGTAGGATCCTTCTGTTAAAACAAAATTATTGAGATGCAGCGAGGGCTTTCCATGGATTAACATGATACATAATAATCTTGCCGGCGTCTTATCTCATTTATTAGTCGTATCAAACGCATTGGAGTCGCATACCTATAAACCCCTTATCAGTGCTTGCCTTATTACAGACCAATTCAGACCTTATTGGTTACCCCGTGCCCTTATAAATCTGAACGTTCATCCTACACAGTCCCATCGCAAGGAGAGAAACAAAGAAATTGACACATTTTGTTTGCCCGCATTGAAACGGCTGTACGCCGTATGGACCTACAAACCTCAATCTCCCTGTACAATAATGGGTTGACAATGACGGAGTCGTATCTCATTAATCTGGAGGGAAACCCTCTAGCCTGGCATGCGGTGGTGGGGAGGGGTCACACAGCCTGGTGACGTCACCTCGCGCGTTGCGCAACAATGGCCGAGTGGGCCGAGGCGGACGGCGCCGCAAGTGGAGGCGGCGGTGAGGTCTCGCGCGAACACAGAACCCCGGACCTTTACATTTCGGGGTGGAGGGCATCACGGAGGCGACACGGAGACACCGGGATATTGGGGCGGGGGCGGGGGGAGCCGTTTCTCTTCGGACACTTGGGTGTGTTGTTTCGCCGCCTCTTCACATAACCCCTCGCGCATTTTTTAGGCGAGGGGCCAGGCTGCCGGCCCGCCCTTAGCAACGCAGGCCGCAAGGTTCTCGCGAGGCTTCAGTGTCCCTCTTCGCGGTTGCTAGGCACGTGGGGAGGCGAGGGGGCAGGCTGCCGGCCAGCCCTTATCAACGCAGGCCGCAAGGTTCTCGCGAGGCTTCAGTGTCCCTCCTCGCGGTTGCTAGGCACGTTGGGAGGCGAGGGGCCAGGCGGGAGAGAAATCGGCGGCAAGCATCGCGTCCCGTGCAGGCTGCCGTGCAACGTCGTGGGCCGTGCGCGTTTACGAGCTTTAGTTTATTGGCGAGGGGGGAAGGGGAAAGACTTTAAAAGTTACTCATTGGTTCTTTTGGTAAAGTCACGTAGGTGTAAAATAAATTAAATCACGACGGTTTTTTTTTATGCCCACTTCAGCAATTGTTTCTTGCCGTGGTTGCCCCACCTGATGACGGACGCTTGTGTTGCGCCCGAAACGTCGTGATTTAATTTATTTTATACCTACGTGACTTCACCGAAATAACCAAAGAGTATGGATTCCTGCAGTCACGAAAACTTCAAATCTACTTTAAAAGTTGCCCAGCGCGTTGCCATGGTTTAGCTGTGACGTCACTACGTGTCACTGTGACGTCACCGACGTGCCACGATGTCAAGCCACCTGTAGCCTCCACTGCTGGATGAAGACACTTTACTTTAAAACATTTCGTTTTAGAGCATTAAATGGGGGTCAATTTTCTTTGGTTCTTTCGGTAAATTCACGTAGATAGATAAAATAAAGTGAATAAAAATAATAAACCAAAAACACTAATGTAGACTGTAGCATGGTTTTGATTTGAAGCTTTCGTGACTGCAGTAATTCATATTCTTAGCTTATTTTATTGTTTCCCTTCAACGTGACTTTACCGAAAGAGTTAAGAATATGTAGCATGGTTATTAAGTTTGGTGAGTGTACTGGTAGTCAATAATGTAGACTCTAGCAATGGTTTTTAAGCTGGGTGAGTGTCCTGGCAGGCTTTAATGTGGACTGTAGCCTGGTTAACAAGCTGGGTGATTGTACTGGTAGTCTATAATTAGATCCGTAGCCTGGTTTTTAAGCTGGTAAGCGTATTGGCAGTCTGTAATGTAGACAGTAGCGTGGTTCTTAACCTAGAGTGAGTGTACTGGCAGTCTATAATGTAGACTTATTGTTTTTTGCAGTAATACTAATTCAATAAAAAACAAAAACCACAAAGTTTCGATCGCAACACAAGCGGTCGTCAAATGGGGGTCACGACATCTGGACTACCCTGAACATTATTCCATTTTCTCGTTAATCAGCATAGACTGGACTGTAATTAAAAAAGGTAAATGTCTAGCTATTACAGAGCATCGGTAGAATATGCATACATCAATCAATCACTCAAAATAATCTCTTTACAGGATATTCAACCCTTATTTTTGTTAAAATCTATCTTCTCTACAAGGACACTCATGATTATTTCATGTTGTGTATTAAGCTTGTATAATTTTGCGTCAAACTAGGAACCTTATTGTAAGGAGAGGGTCCTTGCCTATTCGATTGGCAGTTCGGTATTGAATCGAACATTTAGCCTAATTGCTGATTAGACACTGTCAAAACAAGTCCAGAAATTGCGTATGCAGCTGTATTTGAATCAGTGGCTACTGAAATGCACTCCCAATGCACTCCCAAGAAGCCGGTGCAGTTGAGGCGTTGCATAAGAAATTATTGTATTATTTGCGTGGAAAGACGGACATAAGGGCACTCATACATAAAGTGCTTTCCACAAATGAACCACAATAGCTTGCTGATCTCGTCAAGGAGCATAAATCATCACGCGATCTCTGGTCGTCTTCACAGTGGCTTTTTGGCTAACCATCGAACAAACATGGTCACAGGATCACGCGCTTTCAGATGCGCTTCTGCGGCCGTCTGGAATGCTCTTCCGATATTAGGAAGCCACTGGAGAGATGCACTTTTAAATAATCTAGATGGAAAACTAATTTCTTCAGAACTCCCTTTTGGGTTTTAGTTTGTTCTTCCCCCGCACCGCCGATTAGTATGGTTGGCTACGTACGGTGCGAAAGAAGTTCAACATACACAGTTGTTTATTTTGTTCTCGTAACAGTGTATTTAGTCGGCCAAATACAAGTCTTGTACACTTAATGGAACGATTTGAATTTTAAGTAACAAACGAGGGATACGTTTGGCCACCGAAAATAATAAATTAGAAAGTTAATCCATCAACCTAGGTGGGCACGTGGAATATGCATAAAGCGCTTGCCAACACCAAATCTTCTAAATAGGTGAGACCTCAAACTTGAATAAAAAAACCACGGGAAAAGCCCCCAAAACAGACAGAAACCAAAGAGACTGCGATGGAGTCCTTAGGAATTAAGGGAAACCCAAGAAACTGAAAGGAAACTCAAGAAACAGACCCCCCCCCCCGCCCAACAAAACCCAAGGATATGAGGCATATCATTTTTTTTTAAACTGTTATGCGGGCAAGGGCGAGTCTAATTTTGGATAAGAGATGGGGGGGAGGGGGGCTACTAAGTGAGTTTGCATTGCAGAAATAGGAGGCTAATGTAAACCACATCGTGAATCCCCCCCGCCCGCCCATACTAAATGAAATACAGCAATCCCTCGCCAATCACGGGGGTTAGGTTCCTTAAAACCCCCGTGGTTGGCAAGACTAAAGGCTCATGGAAAATAGGAAGTTAGGTTCCGCGCGGCCACGGTTAACACTCATCAAAGCCTAACTGCGCATCCTATGCATTTAGTAAACATGAGAAATATGTACATTACTGTATAGCATGGTTTCCCCGTATGAACAAAAACACTTGAATATTAATAGTGAACAAAAATACTTTTAATTACCTCGGATAGTTGATGAGTTTCCCACTTGTTTCTCACAGAAAGGCTCAGAATAAAGACAAAACTCGTGGAGCTGACCCTTGCATTAATACCTATGTGGGCTTTGCCTGGTAGGATGAGGATGGTGTAGCTTTATTTGTATGTGTTTGGGTCATTTGCTTACGTTTCTTGTACTTTGCACTCCTATCGTGTGTTTGTATTATTTGTCGTTTGTAACGTTCTTACCCGCCCTACTGGACATCTGACAAAAGGGCTTTATAGTTCATCAGATTTCCGATAGTATAAATAAATATTCTTGAGAAGGGGAAAACCTATTCTCATATTTTGGTACTGGCAAAGGAGGTCCCATAAATAATCTTATTCCGACATATAAGACCCGAACCACCAACAGCGGCTGCCGTTTAGACACTGCAATAAATAGGGCTGAGTGTATTATTCACAACAGCATTCTTGTCAACCCATACGGTTTAGCCGTATTCTTGTACAGGGAAATAGAGTTTTCAGGTCAATACGGCGTACAGCCTTTTCAATACGGGCAAAAGAAATGTTTTTGTCGACTTCTTTGTGTTTCTCCCTTGTGATTGGACTTTGTAGGATGAACGTTGAGATTTATAAGGGCACGGGGTGCACCAATGAGATCTGAATTGGTCTGTAATAAAGTCGGCACTGTTAAGGGGTTGACAGGTATGCGACTAAAACAACGTGAGAATCCGTTTGCACTGCCATGAAAATCCACTCAATTGTAACAAACCTCGAGTCTTGAGGGTAGCGATCTGTGGGACTTACGAATACTGTATGAATATTGTTTGCCAGCAAGCATTGGTTTAAACAGGTAAAAATGGAACCAAGTCCATTGGCACTTGGATGTGTGGATGGGTTTTGTTTTTCCAGGCGAGTGCATGAAGAGACGTTTCGTCTGCCTTTCAAGGGTGGCCTGAGGCAACAAGTGACAGCCAATGCAGTGCAACACAACACACAGCTAAAAATAACGCACGGAAAAAGCAAATGCACAACAACGTTACGTGTAGCATGTTATTTGGTGATGCTGCTACTGTTTTGGCAGTGGTGCACAAGCGCATATGATAACACATTCGTCAATAACACTGTGTGACTTTAAAATGTAAACAATAAAAAAAATATTTTTTTATTTTACCAGGTAAGGCCCAATCAGTTATATAGCTGTTTTTTTTAAAAAGCGACCCGGCCGTAAACGATAGCCGAACGAAGTGGCTTATCACGTGGAAATGTATAGCAGCCAGATACTAGAAAACATATATAGGTGGCATTTGGGGCAGTGGACCTTCATCACAGCACGGAGGTAGAGTGGCAGCTATCTGTATGTCTGCTGTGAAGAAGGGCCATTTCCTGAAATATAACTTTTTTTTGTTTAAAGGTAGTGTTATTGACAAATGTGATTTTTTTTACCTTATAGGTAAATCAAAGCAATCTCTTCAGATTTGTTTAAACAAAATATATAATGAAGGTGAAACATTAACACAAAATGCAATGTGTTGGCTGGGTGCAGTGTTGTCAAAAGCATTTTCACCCAAAATTTTCAAGCAATTAATCCAGTTGTTTGTTTTGAACAGATTAACTGTGAGTGGGGTTGAATGCCACCCAGTTATTTATAAGTTTTTATTTATTTAAATGAACCAACACTTTGGACTGTTTTTCACTTCACTGACCCTCTTCAGCTCTCGGTGGCCTCTTAAACAAATGGTGTCTTTGCTGTGTGCAGTTCCTCCAGGGCTTTTGGGTGCTCCTGCTGGTGCCAACTTCATGTGGTGACACATTCTCCTCCTGCCCCTCTACTTCCACCAACACTGAACTCACTGCTCTCTGTAAGAAAACGCATGCATGGTCTCTGCTATTACTCCTCGCATTTGGTTTGTTGTGCTTCCCCCTCACCTCCGATTAGCACGGTTGGCTACGTACGGTACGAAAGAAGTTCAACATACATTGCACGCTTGGCAGTGGAACCTTGGATTAAGGGTGAAACTGGGTTCATGGGAATGAGGGTGACGCTGGGTTCATGGGGATGAGGGTGTTGCTGGGTTCATACAGATGAGGGTGATGCTGGTTTGATAGCGATGAGGGAGATGCTGGTCTCATGGGGGTAAGTGTGCTGCTGAGTTCACGGGGATGAGGGTGATCCTGGGTTCATGGGGATGAGCGAGATGCTGGGTTCATGGGGATGAGCGAGATGCTGGGTTCATGGGGATGAGCGAGATGCTGGGTTCATGGGGATGAGGGAGACGCTGGGCTCATGGCTGCTGTGGGGTTACATAGGCAGCAGAGGGCAGTACAGTATAATATATGAATGTACTGTCCAAACTCCATGATAAGGCAATATAAATTCTCAGTTGCTGAAAAAAATGTAACAACATGGTGCTGTTGTCAATCCATTGCTGAGTGAAGGCCATCCTGCATTGTGTCGGTCATGGAAAGTTGTCACCAGTCCTCATCGCTATGCTGGTCATCCGTGTTGGTGAGGACCCGTTTAGATTACATTCCCCACCAGCAGTGGAAATGTAAACGTATATGTGCCACTATGAAACCTGTTCGGTTTTTAGTAGCAGCTCATGTTCGCCGCCATTTACCCTCTGCGGAAAGATAGCAGCAGTAGGAATAGTAACCGTTTATTTTTCATGCCGGTATGCACGTGCTTGGCGGGCGTGCCACGGTGGCTAGGGATGTTTACTACCTTACCTGGTATGCAGGAGGCCGTGGGTTTGATCCCTACCCTGACACCTGCATATTTGGAGTTTGCGTGATTTTTCTCTGGGAAGATGGTGTGGGGATATTTCCTCCATCAGGTCCACACCACTGTGGCGAGATGTTAACTACCTCACCTCATATACAGGAGGTTGTGGGTTCGATCCCGACCCTGACGATGCCTGGTGTATTTTGGGAATTTGCATGTCTCTCCCTGTGGTCACGTGGACTTTTCTCTGGGTCCTCTGATTTTTACAGCCAAATTGAGAATCAACATACGTTTAGAGTATTTGGCTGCTGAACATTTCCACGTAAAAGGTCACTTCGTTGAGCTATCATTTGTGACCAGATCACTTCTGAAAAAGAGCTCAGTGGGCCTTACCTGGAAAAATACAAATATTTTTGGTTTAATACTATCTGCGCATTCCAGCACGTTTCAACTGCTGCCCGCCACTGATATTGTGACCAGGAATCAAAGTCAGGTCCTAGCACGGTGTGCTAAACACTGCACCACCGCTGCAATAAAATGTAGTAATACATCTCTATCTGTGCCTATACATTCATAATAATACTAATACATGAACAGTTTGTAATGCGCACAAAATGTTGCGAAACGGATGTAATAATTGTCGGATCGTTAACTCGGAAGTGCATATCACAGGGGTCAAGGTTTCTCGTGCGGCGCCTCCACGTTGGTTTTGTTCATCCAGCTGAGAGCTCAAGACAACAGTACAGGGCTCATTTGCAATAGTGGTCTGGGCCACCAAAATGATATGGAGACCCATAAAAATACATAGAGACCCATAGAGATATATAGACACCCCATACAGCTACATAGAGACACAAAGAGATACATAGAGACCCATAGAGATATATCGAGAAAATAGAGTTACAGAGAGACCCATAGATGCACGTGAAGCTATATAGACTCATAGAGATACAAATACCCCATAGAGCTACATACAGACACAGATATGTAGAGAGACCCATAGAGATATATAGTGATACATAGGGACACATAGTGATACATAAAGATACATGGATTATAGAGAGACACATAGAGATACATAAAGACCCATACTACTACATAGAGACACATATACATAGAGACACATAGAGATATATAGAGATACATTGGTTGTAGAGAGCCATATAGGGATACATAGAGATATAGAAATATACACATAGACCCATATAGATATGTTATATTAAGTTTATTCTATTTAACAAGGTGAGAAGTCAGGAATGACCTGGGTCATTCAGCTGACTTCTGAAGGCGAAGGAAGTCTGAATGCTTCGTACGTCGAGCAGGAGAGAGTTCCAGATGTGCTTGAGCAGCCACGGGAGGAATCGCTACCGGCTCAGCCACTCTTGGCTTTGCGCACACGTGGTAGATTCTACTCTCTATACTTGCGATGGATGTCTGTGTGCGCCAGATAGATATCGCTTTTTCTCGCTCCGCCTCTTGTTTTTGTCTCAGCGGCGCGAGAGGCCATGGTGCCGCTGCTGGGTTTGTCGTTTGCTGGCTCGGGCTTCCTGGGCGTGTACCACCTGGGCGCGGCGAGCGCGCTGCTGCGGCGCGGGCGCCGGCTTCTGGGCGCCGTGGACGCCTACGCGGGGGCCTCGGCCGGGGCCCTCGCCGCGGCCGTCATGGTGACCGCGCCGCACAGGATTGCGGTGAGTGCCGCTGGGCGATCGCGGGTGGGAAGTTGGGCCGCTCGGCGATGGCGGGTAACCGGGCCGCTCGGCGATTGTGGGTGGGAACCCTAAATCGACGTGTCCCCGTGTGTTGTCTCTCCAGGACTGCACGGAGTTCTCGTACAAGTTTGCGGAGGAGATCCGCTCCCAGCACCTGGGCGCCTTGACCCCCGGCTTCCCCTTCATGCAGAAGCTTCGGTACGGCGATCGGTTGCAAATCGTTGCATCTTTAACCTTCTGTTAGGCCAAAGGGTGAATTTGAGTCTTTACTTAATTTGCATGTGATTTACATACATTTAACGAGGTTGATCCCGGTTTTTCCCTCAAGATTTAGACACATACATTTAGATTATTTTGCTGCTTTACATTTCCACATGAAAGCTATCATTTGAGGCCAGGTCATTTCTGAAAAAGAAGCTAATGGCTCAGTGCGCTTTACCTGGAAAATAAAATTGCGTAGTTTTATTCGTATATTTTTTTTCAAGTGATTTGTTTACCTTTCCTATACTTTGCACTCCTATCGTGTTTTTGTATTGTAACGTTCTGACCCCATGCTCCTACTGGGGATCTGTGAAAAGAGCTTTATAACTTGTCGGATTTCTCCAGTATGAATACATATTCGGATTATGATTCTGAGCAATAATAATTTCAATCATTTTAACTTGTAAACCCGCCGCTGCACGACACTTGCTTGCTGTCAAATAGAGAGCGAGACTTGGAGGCACAAGAAGGAACCACAGGCAGGCGGGAAGGCAACAGCCACGCCGTGAGATGGCACTACCAACTATTGCCCAACCTCTGTGGTGCTCTATACGTGAAGGCGTTATCGGCCAATTAACAAGTACTTACAAGCTGGAGGAAATCGGAGCACCTGCAAAGAGGGAGCAACATGCTCCCATATGTTGTATGTAATATGTATGTTGAATATCTTTCGCACCGTATGTAGCCAACAGCGCTTATTGGAGGTGCGGGGGAGATGGACATCAAACTAAACTCAAAAAGCAGTTCTAAAAAAAGTTTTCAATCTAGATTTAAAAGTGCGTAGCTCCTGTGGGTTCCTAACATCGGAAGGGTGTTCCAGACGGCCGCAGACAGATACAGGTGGGGTCCACATTTTCTGTACCGCCTTGTCCTAGTGAATCAAGATATGGCTCCTCCCTGATGCCCATGGGAATGAAGCTGGAACGGATGGAAATTGGTCAACATTTTGCTATGCCTTTTCCTGGTGAGCCAGGGTGTGGCTCATCCCCAACGACCACGTGAATGGAGTTTCACATTTTCAAAACATGTTACAGCCATGATCCTAACCAGGCCATTTGGTGAATTGAGGCGAATTAAAGATAATTTATGGTTCCGATATTCAAATCACTTGCACGACGTATGTTATTTGTATGAAAGGATAATACCCATCCATCAGAATCTGATCCGGTGTGCCAATGAGAATCGGATTCGAGCGCAGGCCGGTGGCATCTGAATTGATTTTATACTTTTAGACCCAAACCTTGCTCTCAAAATAAGACATTCAGTGTTCTTCTCGTGTTATTTTTGCATAGTTTAAGGTCAGGGGTAGTAACCGAGACTCTCTGTCACTTGGTGAGAGGTTATTGAATCGCATCTGCCCATACAGCCTATAACTACCTCCCCTCAGCTATCCTTGCTACTAGCTCATTCATTCATCACGCATAGACAGTGAAGGACCGTTGCGCTCTTGCGACAGCATTCGCGCAAACTGCTCTTGGCTGCCGTACACCGGCGTCTCGGGTGATTTGTTTGATCCACGGGGGGCAGGGGGGGGGGGTGTCGCTACCATAGGGGAGGGCGGTGCTATACGTGGGTGAGCGGTGGCGCAGTGGCCAGTGTGCTGGGTCATGAACCCGAGTTTGAATTCCAGCTCCCGGCCAACATCAATAACGAATATCTGAACTGGTCCTGGGACTGCCCCAGGTTGACTCAGCTATGAACGTGTACATGGTGCGATGTGTAAACATCAGCACTGGGGAGATATAGCAGGCGGGTGTGCGAGTCACAACACCCCCTCATGTGCCGTGTTGGCCTTCAAAGGTGCTCACTAACAACACGCGCATGCGGCCTGTGATCCAGAATTCCAGAATCAGCGAAGGTTGGCGGATCACACAAATGTTGTCAAATTCCTTTCCCGCGGGCGTCCAGGAGGAGCCATACGCTGGCTCGCCAGGAGAATGAGGTACAGCGAAACGTGGACTGATTTCATAATACAGGTTTTTTGGGTTATATCACGTAAATATCAGTGACGTGCGGTGAGGTCAATGGCTGGGGAGGCACTGGCTAGTGTCAGAGCCAGATTCACACACTGAGGGGGGCGCCTCCTCACTGAGGGGGGCGTGTCCTCACTGAGGGGGCGTGTCCTCACTGAGGGGGGCATCTTCTTTGGTTCTTTCGGTAAAGTCACGTAGAATGAGAATAAAATAATACATTGATAAAATAAAATAACGCAATAGAATTCTCACGACGTTTCGGCCACAACACAAGCGGCCTTCATCAGGTGAAGGGACGAGACTTTCTGGAGGACAGCGCTGGAGCGAACAAAGCCACGCTCAGATCGCGACCTTTAAGCTGTGTGAGAAGAAACAAAGCGCCTTGACAAAGGAATTAGCATAAAATTTAGCATTGAAATAGCTGAGTGATTAACTTGTGACTGGTCACATGAGGGGGGCATGTTAGACACGTCTCCCTCAGTGAGGCAGATGTGATAGCTACCTCCCCTGGTGCTTTTTCATTGCAGTTTCATGACGAGACCAGCGAGCCTAAGTATCTTTATACACATACGTGAAATAAGTTACCTAGAGTATGGAAGGTGAGGACATGAAATGAAGGGGTCTACAACCATTACATTGTTGACATACTGAGATAGTAACAGGCACGCGCTTATTGCCCGCGCTCCATCCAGTTACTGAGGGGTTGCGCAATCAGAGGGGAGGCTGAGCTCGTCGCTGCCTCACCTCTCGTCTCTTCTTGTATTTGCAGCGGAGCTCCGCAAATTTGGTGATTTTGACTTTACAAATGATTGGAATCGTACAGAAATGACATTTCTAACACAGATCAGTGGAAATTGTTTTATATTTATTTTAATTGATTATTCTTTTTTTTACTTTTCCTAACAGCTATTTTCATTGGAGTATGACAGGTGAGGCTCTGCCTCCCCTGCCTCCCCTGACCGTACGTCCCTGATAAATATATAAAGGTGTCGTTAAACTCGCCACCACCCGACACAGCCAATTAGTAAGGTTGTCACGTAAACAGAACATGCCAATTAGTTACTGGTACAGCACACCGGTGTGTTGGAGAGCAAAGGACCGCAGATCTTGACGGGGGAGGGGACAGTGATTTGGCGCCGGCTCGCCATGTGGCTGCTGCCTTCCTGCTTGTTTGGGGTTCTGGCTCGTGCCTCCGAATCATTCTCTCTCTTCGAGCTGTAATTGAATACCGTGCGGTAGCGCAGTGCAAGTTGACATTGCTATTAATAGCTTGTGTGGGCTACACTGGGGATTTGCATCTTGTGCGTGTGTTTGTGCGCTTGTGCGCTTGTGCACTTGTGCGCTTGTGCGTGCCAATTATCTTCGTCAATCCCTGGCACCTGGATCTGTTCCGTGCCTTTGACACTTATGGTTAACTTGAGGTGGTGGCTGCTTACTGCTCGTACAAACTCCACTCGCTAAAAGTGCACCGCGCCTGGCACAAGCGCTGTGGTGATGTCACCACCACTTAGTGGCGTACGGCGACGGCTGTTGTTGTTGCTGTGCGTGTGAGCGCTTTGCGTTCTGCGCCACGAACCTGGCAAGCCGAGTTCGATTCACATCGGTGACGATTATATGAATCGATCCTGGGCCTCCTCTCGGTCAACTCAGCCTTACATGAGTACCTGGTGCAGTGTGTAAACATGAGGGAGAAAAAGGCGGCCGAGTGTGGTGTTGGCCACCTACCCCCTCGTACTCCATGCCAAGAGGGCGCCGCGGTGACGAGATGTGAACTACCTTGCCTGGTATACAGGAGCTCGTGGGTTCGATCCCAACCCTGCTGCCTGTATATTTGGAGTTTGCATGTCTCTCTATCTCCCTGTGGTCTAGTGCATTTTTCTCTGGGTTCCACGTGATAAACCACTTTGTTGAGCTATCATTTGTGGCCAGGTCGCTTCTCAAAAAGAGCTATGCGGCTCAGTGGGCCTTACCTGGTGAAATAAAAATAGTTTAGTTTATAGTTTAGGTATTATAGTTTTAACCTTTTCATAGGTGCTTTTTCCGAGCAGCACTTGCCCCTACAAGCTGTTGAAGGTTATATGGGGAATCTTTGTCTTTGTGCACAGCGAGGGCATCGAGTCGATCCTGCCAAGCGACGCGCACGAGCGCGCGGAGGGGCGACTTCACGTGTCCATCACGAGCGCACGCACGCGGCGCAACCGCCTCGTGTCGCACTTCAGCTCACGCGACGAACTCATGCAGGTGACGTGCACAGTCACAACCACAGCACAAAACACAACCACACACACCAACCTCCACACAGACAACAACACCACAATCATAACACGAAGAACAACAAACCCAACAACAGCAACACAACAAGATACGAGGGGACAACACTATCCCATACAGAAGGGACAGGTGGAGTCCATAGTTTGCTGGTACTGCCTTCTGTCGAGCCAGGGTATGGTTCCTCCTTGAAATCCTGTGTGATCCACCAACCCTCGCTGCTGTATGTGTGTTGAACTTATTTCGCACCATACATAGCTCACCGTGCTAATCGGAGGTGTTGCCTCCACAGTGCAGGATTATAGGCCACGTGTGTAGCTGCCAGCAACACAATACAAACGCTTCCACCGAAACCACCATCACTCACGCTCACACGAACAGCATCAGCTCCGCCAAAAGCGTTGCAACCACCGACGCTACCAAAAGCACAACCATCAGCACCACCACCAGAATCATCACACTACCATATATAGCAGGCTTTACTAAAAATATCTCCAAAATTCTAAACAAACACAAGATCCTGGTCCGGTTCAATACAGTACACAAAATCCGTGATCTGATCCCATCCGTGAAGGATGTCATTCCTGACTTACAGTACCCCGGAGTTTACAAATTGATCTGCACCTGTGGTGACTGCTATATCGGGGAGACGAAACGACATGTCTCTGACCGAATTCGCCAGCACAAATCAGATTTGAAACACGGCAGAACGAATTCTTCTGCCGTAGCTGATCACTGTTACAACACTGTGGGTGATCACGATATCATTTTCTCCGATACCAAGGTTCTTTGCAAACCCATGGGTTTTTATCAGAGATTTGTTCACAAGGCAATTCAGATTTACAAACACAGACACAATTTCAACCGAGAGGATGGTGTCAAATTAAGCAACCATTGGAAAGATGTTCTGAATCAAACCAAACATTAAACTAATTTTCAATGGTACAGTATATTTTTTCAAGTAGTGGTATCCCAAACTTTCGCAGCTGCTTAAATTCCCTTTTCACACCATCAATATGTAAACTCCCCCCCCTCCCCCCCTCGCCGGTCTGCACATGTTCCCCCCCTCTACATCGTTCATCGTGCTGAGTCCGCCAATTAAATGGTAATTTTTATGCTAATTCCTTTGTCAAGGCGCTCTGCTTCCTCTCACACAGCTTAAAGGTCGCGGTCTGAGCTTGGCTGTGTTAACTTCAGCGCTGTCCTCTAGACAGTCTGGTCCCTTCACCTGATGAAGGCCACTTGTGTTGTGGCCGAAACATTGTGAATTTTTTATTTTTTGTTGTTTTTTTTTACGTGACTTTACTGAATAGAACCAAAGAGTATGGATCCTTGCAGTCACGAAAGCTTCAAATCTAGAACCAGAATTATCTCAGTCATACCAACAAAACCAACAGTCTGTGTAGGCCATACAGGGGATCTTTGTTATATATGTCTGCGTGAGGGTGTGTGTGTCTGGGTGTGTGAATGCGTCTGCGTGTGTGGGGAGTGGTAGTATAGCACTTAGTGTGCTGCACTACGAACCCGGCGACCCGAGTTCGATTCCCGCTCACGGCCAACATCAGTGACGATTTTCTGAACCGGTCCTAGGCTTCCCCTAGGTTGACTCAGCTCGACTCAGCCTTAAATGAGTACTTGGTGCGATGTGTAAACATCGCCACTTGGGAGACAAAGGCAGTCGGGTGTGTTGTTGGCCACCCACCCCCTCGTGTATCGGGCCGGCCTTCAAAGGTGCTCGCTAACAGTACTTGCCCCAACAGTCTGTTGAAGGCTATACGGGAGATCTTTGTCTTTGTGAGCGCGTGCATTGGTGTGATGATCCCAGCGACGTGACCGTGATGTCCTGGTTAATTCGGTGTGCAAAGATGATTATTTGGGAGAGAAAAGCAGCCACGGTGTGAGGTAGTCGCGCAGATGTGAAATTCTAGCCACACATAGACAATTACCAAGACCATCTTACAAAAGTACCGATTATTGTTTTGGTTATATAATTACAATATAATTTGTGTGTGTGTGTATTCATATTCTTTGGGTCTTTCGGTAAAGTCACGTGGATAGGTTCAAAGAAAATAACAAAAACTATTAGCTGTGTGTATGTGCCTCTACCGCATTGATGGTGAAACCCCCCACTGTGGACCAACTTCTCACATTATGAAAGGAAACACCTGGTGCTTTGGAACATTCCTTGAGGCCAGGGCACAGCTGTCCTGTGTGTATGCGCACGCTTGCGTGCCCTGCTGTACGTTTGTGCGCATGTGCGAACGGCGGCGTAGCGGTTACCGTACTGTGCTACGAAGCCAGGGACCCGAGTTTCATTCCCGCTCACGGCCGATACCAGCGACGAATATCTGAACCGGTCCTGGGCCTCCCCTAGGTCGACTCAGCCTGGAACGAGTACTTAGTATGGTGCCTGAACATCACCACTCGGGAGACAAAGACGGCCGGACGTGGTGCTGGCTACCCACCCTCGTGTGCTGTGCTGGGTGCTCACGGAGGATCTTTTTCTATGTTTGTGTATACTTATTGTGTGTATGTATCCACCTATATGCATGTTTAGGTATCCGCGTTCATGTATGGGTGTGCCCGGATGTGTAACGTAAGCTCAGAAACACATCAAACCTCCCCACGGTCTCCCCACGGTTACAATCGGCAGGTGCCAGTCATCACATCCAACTCCAGCCCTGGGCTAGCATCGGAAATACATTCCACATTCCTTTGATGGGGATCATCACTCCACCGGACATGCATTTGTTACCTCCCACAAAGCGGTATTCCTTTTAATCAACCATGGAGGGGAAGACGACGATTGGCGCTTACGGTCCTTAACTGGGATATCAACTCGCAGCTTCTCGATGCGATTCAAGATTTCTCGGCCCAAGGGTGGAGAGCTCGTTAGAATCCGCTTTGCTGCTCTGTTGTAGCGATCCCACGCGCACGCCAATGGCGGGACTCAGCAGTTGGGCATGTTCGCTCGAGCAGGTGTGGAATTAGCCAACGGAAGCCGAAGCAGCCTCCCTTGTTACGCTCGGGATGAGCCAAATCGCTCGGTCTTATTTGTTTAAATGAAAAAAAAATACACTTCAAAGAGATGAATATTTGTATATTGGGGCAGGTGTAGGAAATTGCAGTGTAACTTTATCCGGTTTGAGAATATAGCACTCGGCAAATATTTTTGTTAAACGGACGGGAGATAACGATGTACCCGATAAGTGGATTATCCAGTGGTTGCTTTGTTGACTACAATAGCATGTATTTATATATGAAGTCAGCCTTAGACGTGCACTCACAGATGTGCAGTGAGTTTACATTGCTTATCTAGCACAGGTGTGCTCCATCCCATCAAGCCTCGGAAGCGAAGTCTGGGTTAAACCTGGAAAAATGGGACCTTAAAAAATGGGAGACCACTGTGCATGAACCAGACGTGATAAGCATTGTGGGCAGCAGAGGGTAGTGCAGGAAAATCCAAGTGTACCACATTCACTCACAAAGACCAGACTGTTGGGGAAGGTGTTGTTAGCGAGCACCTATGAAGGCTGGTACAACACACGAGGGGGTGGGTGGCCAGAATCACGTTTTTTTTGTCTCCTGAGTGGCAATGTTTACAATTCAGACACAGGTGCCAAGATGGCGAGATGTTAACTACTTCGCCTGGTGTACAGGAGGTCGAGGGTTCGCCTTTGTATTTGCAGTTTGCATGTTTTCCCCGAGGTGTTTAGAGTATTTGGCTGCTGTAAATTTCCACATAATTATAAGCCACTTCGTTGAGTGATCATTTGTGGCCAGGTCGCTTCTAAAAAGAGCTACATAGCTCAGTGGGACTTACCTGGTAAAATAAAAATAGTTTAGTTTATTGCACCAGGTACTCATTTGAGGCTGACTTTACAAAGGGGAGGCCCAGGACCGCTTCATATCATCGTAACTGGTGTTGACGGTGATTGTGGGAATCGAACTCAGGTCGGCCGGATTCGTAGCACAGTGCACTAACCGCTACACTACCGTTCCTAACAGAAGCATACAGACACAAAGAAAAAAACACACACTCATACAAACGCTCTCACTCATACATATACATTCAAACACAGCCACAAACGAAACAAAGACAAAGATCCCCCATCTAGCCTTAACAGACTGTCAGGGCAAGTGCTGTTAGCGAGCACCTATGAAGGCCAACACGGCGTATGAGGGGGTGGGTGGCTAGCACTACGCCCGACCGCCTTTGTCTCCCTAGTGGCGAAGTTTACACACCGCAATTGGTACTCATTTAAGGCTGAGACGACCTAGGGGAGGCCCAGGACCGGTTCAGATAATCGTCACTGGTGTTGGCCGTGAGCGAGAATCGAATTAGGGTTGCCGGGTTCGTATTACAGAATGCTAACCGCTACACCACCGCTCCCTAACTAGACACACACACATACTCATTCAAACACACACCAACAAATAATAGATTCCCATTTCAGCCTGGATATACAGAGGGAAAAAAGTAATTGATCCTCTGCTGATTTTGTGCGTTTGCCCACTGACAAAGAAATGATCAGTCTATAATTTTAATGGTAGGTTTATTTGAACAGTGAGAGACGGAATAACAACAACAAAAAATCCAGAAAAACGCATGTCAAAATGTTATAAATTGATTTGCATTGTAATGAGGGAAATAAGTATTTGACCCCTCTGCAAAACATGACTTAGTACTTGGTGGCAAAACCCTTGTTGGCAATCACAGAGGTCAGACGTTTCTTGTAGTTGGCCACCAGGTTTGTACACATCTCAGGAGGGATTTTGTCCCACTACTCTTTGCAGATCTTCTCCAAGTCATTAAGGTTTCGAGGCTGACGTTTGGCAACTCGAACCTTCAGCTCCCTCCACAGATTTTCTATGGGATTAAGGTCTGGAGACTGGCTAGGCCACTCCAGGCCCTTAATGTTCTTCTTCTTGAGCCACTCCTTTGTTGCCTTGGCCGTGTGTTTTGGGTCATT